ATCTGGTTTAATTTCTTAAAAAGTCTTCTTTAATCAGCTATCTAATTATTAACCGAATTGCAAAATAATTTGTTGCAGCCCTAACTTTACTAAATCAAATGTTTTCTTTCAGTTCTTTAAAATTAATATGAAGTGTTTTTGTTTGTTTTTGTTGATGGTGGCATTAAGGCTCATCCTCAGAGTGGCATATTGTTCTGGGTGGCAGCAGGTGCTCCTGGATAGTTGATGATCCCTATTACCTTTTGCATGTGGCTACTAATGCTAAAGTAGCCATTTAAATTGCAGCTAAAGCTTAAATTGAAGCTGAGAGGGTGGACTGCTTTGGTTATTTCTTGTTAAAAGTAAAATATTTGTAGCTTGGACTGAAATATTCTACAATTCTAAGAATGTGTACAAAGCAGATTGTGTTTTATTTGGTACAAAAAGAACACAGGACTCCTAAATGTATGAGTTACCTTTGGTCAGACGATTATTCTAACTTTTAAGGATCTTTAATAAGGTTTATGAGGTGACATGTTGGTTAATAAGTAATTTGTGCTGCTTCTTTTTTTTTATCTTTATTAGATTTCACTCGCACCAGCTGGAAATCTGCAACTGCAGCCTCTGTCCTTTGGAGAAGGCATATCAATTGATCTGTTACCACCAAAGGAACTGAGGTAGAGAACAAGCCTAAGGCATAAATGTATACAGTACAGCTATCTAGGGCCCAATGCTGGCCCACCAGAGGCTCCCAAGAGCATTTAAAATGTTACTGGACAGGTTTTTTAGAAAAAGGGGTTGCTCTAATGATTTCATACACAAATCATAAATATTAAATGGGTAATAAAATGATAATAGCATGAAAATATTTGAGTGTGTATCTATTTAATGCTGTTTACATTTGATTTGATTTTGCTCTATTTACTCATAAGTATCATGTTTGTTCTTATAATGTTCTCTGATCTCCAGATACACATCATTTGTGAATTATGACTCAAAACGTCACTTCATTCAAAACGTGGCCCTCCAGCTATGGGGCCAGGGCCTCGAACACTACCAGCAGACAATAGTTGCTTTGCCGCACAGCACTTGGCGCCACTACAAGACCCAGCTGGACTTCCAGCCCCGCCATCGACCCCACCGCTATAAGAGCACCACCATCATCTACCCCAAGAAAACCAGCACTGTCTATGTAACGGAGCTCAGCTACGACTCCCACCGGCTCTCCAGGCGTTTCTTGTCCAGTGTGGAGTTGGAGGTGGTTGGCGGCAGTAGACTGCCTCAGTGAAGAAGGAGGAGATCTTGGCTCCATGCTCCCCCTCTGAAGATGCACTGAAAGTCAGTTCAAGCTCAGTTGTTGATTTCTACTTAGAACGATCAGCAACATCCATAGACTCTATTTCTTTTCCTCTGGGTCACTGTTTTTATTTTTTTCAAGCCGACCTGAGTGGGCTGGAGGTAATCACAGTTAAAGCAGCTGTGCCCCCCTCTTTAGGCCTTTTAAAACTCAAAATCTAAATAGGAGCATCTACCAAATACTCTTATTCTAGTGTTTCTTTTTCTGGTTTACCCTGATGTTCCTGCTTGATCAGAGAGCTTCTTTCTGGAAGGAGGGGGCTGTGCTTGCTTTGAAGCTAATGTGGATGTTTGCCACTGATCTGTTGTGTAGCTTCCTTTTGGTCTCTTTCCAAAGCTAAAGATTGGAAGGATCTGCTCAGCCATAGCACAGATAAGAATGGGTTTAAGATTGTTTTTCTATATATTTATGGGCATTTAATTGAGGCGGGGTAAACCCCGCACAGGTCGCCAGTCTATGGCAGGGCAACACAACCATGCACACACACACACACACACACACACACACTCTTAAGAACAAATTAGAGAAGACCCAACAGTCATGTTTGTTGACTGTGGGAGGAAGCTGGAGTACTCCCCATATTCATGCAGAAAGACCACTTTTAAATGCTTTAAGGAGGCATTTCTTTTCAGAAAACTAATTAGATCAGTGTAATTAGTTTGGATATGAGAGTATTATTTAGCAGGTTACCTAGGACTTAAACAGCTAACAAATGAGTTCCATGTTCTGTGCAAATTGAAGTCCTTTTCCAAAGCCTTGTGCATTCTTGTTTTTATTTTTAGAGAACTCTGTGTTTAGGTGCACAGCATAAAGTAGAGCTCTTCACATGACTCATTCCAAGCAGTATGCATGTACCACTCTGGTGTTGTGCATGCTATGAAGATGTACTGTTTGTTAGTGTGTACGTTTTGATTAACCAGGTAGCACAGATGGCACCTAAGTAAGGTATTCATTAATAAGTGCGCTAATCACTGGCTTAAAACATTCCACTACTTTTCTAGCTGTTGTGATTTGATTTTTAAATTTGTATTTATTCAGGTTGAGATTTTAAATGCTAATAATTATACCCTTTCCATTTCTGTTTTTTGTCAATTTCTTTTGAAATGCCATATGTTTTTGTGGCTTTTTAATTCAATCACTTGTTGGATGTGTAGTTAAAATAAAAGGAACACATGTTCAGTTGTGGAAATGTCTTTTTTTTTATATAAGTTATGATTACTTATCACTTATTTGAAATGTTTTCTATTTAACCTTTGGAAAAATGTACCATAGTTTAAAAAAATATTCCTGCTGCCATTAACAAATCTACCGTAATAGATTTAACAGAATCATAAAGTTGAACACCACACATTTGAAATTAGTTTTCAGCTGTACAATCTGTGTTTTACTTTTATATATATTTTTAAATTAAGTTGCTCTATATCAATTTTTTGTTTGCTTGAGAGGAAGTTAATTTTTTTTTGTCTTATTGTATAAATCTTTATGCTGTACTACAGCGCCCTCTTGTGACTGTATAGTGTAAAAGCATGGTAAAAACTAAGAGGCTCAGGTCTGTTTTTCTTGTGCATTAAAGCATGAAAGGTACATTTTAGGCATCTGGATGTGTAGTTTTCTAGAACAGTGTTTCCCAAACCTTTTTTGACTTTGACTTTTAATCCTTTGGGCATTCTGTCTTACCATGAGTTCTCCTGTCAGTCCAAAGTTTTAAAGATTGTCCAAACATGGAAAGTAGAATAATTGATTAAAAAATAAAAACTATTTTACTTTTAAGTATTTATTAAATTAAAAAAAAAATATGTTGCCTGGAAGTTAGTAAGGAATCAAAATAAATACAAAATAAAATATAAATCTGTATTTATAAAGCTGTAGCTCATCTGAGTAACTCCCTTTGTCCATTTGGGTACGATAGTCCAAAAAGTAGTTCCACCTTTTGAAAAAGCAAAAGAACTAAAAACTTGTATTTAATCCTCATCACATATCAGAATCTAATTAACCTTCACTGACCAAGTTTTTGGGTACAAATAAGGAAATCGACTTTGGTTTGACCTTGCAGCTCAGTCAGTGAAAGCTTAAGGCAGGCGTTCTTCCATCACTGCAAAATGTGTAGAATAGGCTCACAGTTCTATTGGTTGCATTTATGCCCACTTTAATAGTTTCCTACTTGGAAACTGGCAGTCATAAGTTACTACTTGCCAAGTTTACAAAGTGTGACAGTGTTTTTCACATACTTTTAAAATTATTTGAACTGCAACAGTCTGGTTTATGGGGCACACTGGTGTTAACTTATCCTGGAACCCAGTGGATCAGAGAACTGTACCCTGGCTGAGTTACAACTGCCAATTTCAAATCCAGGCCCTGAAATGGTTCACTTGGAGTGTGAATGTGTGTCATTTCAAGAAAACCTTATGATGTAAGAGCAGCACTTTTCAGTTCACTAAAAATGGAAAAAAAAGAACAGGAATAAAGACTAAGGAGTTAGAAATGTCTCCTGTGGCTATGTTGAGTAATGAAAAGGTGCAAAATGCAGGAGGGCATCTGGAATTCCAGCACCACAGTGGTATAAAATTCCCAAGAGATGGACCTTCTTTATGTTTTTGTTTCTTCTCAGTCAGCACAATACTGGCGCCTAAGCTGTTTGTTTGGAACTACATAATGTTGTTTGGCTCAGTCTAAATAAACACTGTGTGAAAGTCAATTTGGCTCACTGAAGGTGTGAATTTTCTCACTTAACCAATTCTTGGACAGATCCCTAAAATCACCGCGATTCCATCAGCAATTTGGAATGAAATTACCTGATTTCTAAAAAAAAACAAAAAAACTTTCTTGTCATTTGAACGTGATAAAGATAATTAGGTTATATCTCAAATGGTAACTAAAGAGATAATTTCTTTATGCCTCTATACAGTTAAAATATTTATATGTTTTAATGTTTTAAGAGATGTATAGCCAGATAACACCTCAAGCTAAAATTCTAATGAATAAACACTTTTTCTCAAGTGTGGCTGGACTGAAAAAAAATGTGTAAAATGGGTTTATTACCACGTTTTTTTAACACGTAGGAGGAAATTTTTATGGTGATAAGGTGCAATTCCAAACAGATGAATTTGAAAATATTCAGTGTAGAATAAAACTTTCAAGTTGTATAGGAATGTTATGAGAGTAGAGAAAATTTGTGCACGTTTTTGCAGAGGAAGAGCCCAGAAGAGTGCAGATATTTTTTTTATGAAATTAAATTGAACAGTATTTCACTTTAAAGAAGAAAGAACAATCTGGAATTCACATGGAAAATAATAGTATATAGTTTACTTTTTCTAGATGTTTGTTAATCTGCATAGTTGCTCATAAATAAACACATTGTCAGAAAATAAATAGTTTTTATATATAAAAAAATATAAAGCTGACTAAAAGCTTCTCCATTATTAAACTGGTACTTTATTTTTTTAGGTTTGTGACACAATATTGAACCATGCAAAACAGAGATTTACCTTCACGAAGCCTCAGAAGGGCAAGATTTATGTACAAAACGTAAACCTGGAAATGTTTTGTTTTTATAATGTTTTTTGTTGTTGCCATTCGTTTAAATACACTGGTGTGATAACTTAGTATATGTTTGATTGGTTTTTGGTATACGTCTATTTTGAATTTATTGCCCCCCCTGGAGAAAACTCCACCAGCCGCCACCGGCTGAGTAGCTACAGTTTACTAAAAATGAACATCCAGCTCTCCCATATTTCTGGTCATGATATATACACACCTCATAGGATCATCACCATCACACCATCATAGGATGGGCCCAAATAGAAATAGTAAACACAGACATGTACGTATGTAGAGGTGTTTTTTTTTACAGTTGCACATTAGAAGTTTTCAGTTTTCAAGCTCATGTTTGTTGACAGATATTTAATAAAGATAAATTGTGCCTTCATCAGTAGTGGATTAGAGATATAAAGTTAAGTTCACAAGTGGGCCAATTCAATTCAGTTTGGTTCAGGTAAATATTTAATGATGCAGAAGATAACAATCTGATTGTACAATTTATTTATGACGCTTTATAGTAATAAATAAAGTGCTATAAAATAATTGCTCGCGTGTTTGCAATAATCATCTCTGCCCATGCTTTTTTGAAATAAACATTTGCCTTGTGCGCTCGCATTTTACTTGGTACCCTATTGTGCCTCTGTATAGTATTGGGTCAGCTGACGTCCATGGTCAGGAGGATATAGTGGCTATGAAACAACCAAAACAAATGAATTGAGAGCAATTTTGCATGCTTAAGTAATGATTTAAAAGCATTTAATGTGTTAATTAACACACATTAAATTGTTTGCAACCAATAGACTGAGCTGGACCCAGCTTAAAAGCATTTTTGCAAATTTTGTCTGAATTTTGTCTTGATTTATTTTACACAATCTCTTTTTTTCCTTTTCATCACCTACTGCTGAAAACAACCAAATCTAAATAAATCCTCTTTATACATGTCCACCTAAGCTCTGTATGTTAACTATAACTTATTGATAGTTTCTGTCTATTTTTCTGTGCTTTTCTTTTTTACGAAAAACATGGGAAATCAATGTTATTTAGGGGCACCTAAAAACAAATAAAGCAACAAATATGCTTTATACGGTGCTGAAATTACGCCAGTCTTTAAATTTTCTTTATGAGTTGATATATATATAATTGTTTATTTATGTATTTATTTATTTAATTTTATTTTTTATTTTTTATTTTTTGAAACTTGGTACGTTATTTTCTACCCATCCTCTTATATGATATATATTTTTTAATCTTTTTTTGGGTTGATCTGAAATTTCCTCTTTAGATATACTACCGTGAAGGCATCATGACGTAGGCGTAAAACTCAAGGCGTGAAACCGTCACTTTTTTTTTTTTTTTTTTCTAGTAACGTTTGGTACTTTATGAGACATTCTTCCACTGACCAAAATAAATTAAGATAAAAATATAATGATAATAATAAAAATAAAGGATGTAATGACGCGTTATGTGACGTTTCACTTTAGAAGCCACGCCTACGTTTCCCGGCGTCCATGCGCTACGTCTCTGTAGCTCAGTTAAACCCACTCACACACCCACGGCGGCTTGTTTTGCCCACAGAGAGGAATTCCACGCTGGATACCAACCTTCACTTTAATGATATAGATGTCAGACCGTTCATTTGTCTTTTATTTTAAATCGAATAGATCCATTCCCTGTTCAAATTGTTAGCTTGTGGCTAACAAGTTACCTGTGAAGAATGAAAACAGGCAACGAAAACAGCAGCAGCAGCATCATGGACATGTTTGAGCAGGGCAAAGTGCTGAAGATCTGTGCACCTATGGTTCGATATTCAAAGTAAGGACTTTTGCGAGTTTGATCCGACGGTGATGTCATTTTTTTAGTGTGTCCGTTGTTGTTAACATATCTTTTTCACAGGTTAGCGTTCAGATCTCTTGTCAGGAAGTACAACTGTGACGTCTGTTTCACCCCAATGATTGTAGCAACTGACTTCTTACGATCTGTCAAAGCCAGAGACAGCGAGTTTACCACCAATGAACGTAGGTGCTCTAACTATTATTTATTAAATCTGTAATAACCCTGCATAATGCATGGTAAACAAAAGTTGGTGGCACTTATTAGTGTGATAATCATATGTTGTTATGTTTTTTCTCAGGTGATCGACCCCTCATTGTGCAGTTTGCAGCCCATGATGCTCAGACCTTGGCGGATGCAGCTTGTGTGGTGGCCCCTTTCTCAGATGGAGTTGATCTTAACTGTGGCTGTCCTCAGAGGTGATGCCAGTGGGAGAGAAAAAAATGCCTTATCTATTATAGCTTTTACTCATGCTTTAGTACTTTCATTTTAGGTGATTAATTTCTCATAAACATGCCAGTCTGTTTTGACTGGGGATGGGAATCGAAAACCTGTTCCTGTTAAGAACAGGTTCCGTGTGTTCCAATTCCATGGCACCGTTTGGCAGCCGGCTTAACGATTCTCTTAACGGTTCCAGGCAGCACCAGAGCTGTGCTGGGCAGCACGACTTACCCAAAAAATGGCGTCCCATCGGGTAAAGCGGTTGAAAGTTTGGCTTCATTTTAAAGAAGAGAAAGATGGCAACAAGGCGCTTTGCAATCAGTGCAAAGTGCCAATTACATCCGCAGGAGGAAATGGATCCAACATGCAGAAAAACCTGTGCACACAACTTGGCATTCATTTTAACGAACGCCGTGTTTTTTATGCTTCCGGACAGAAGCTAAAGTTACAACCACCATGGAAGGCAACTCTGGTGCTAAGAAGCTAGTTTTATATCACTTGCTGTGCTTAATGTGGTTCCTAGTAAATCATATGCAATTTCTGAAAATAAACCCATTTCCTACCTCTTTTTGGAGTTACTAAACATGCTATGAAGGTGCTCTGCGAGAAAGGTGACACTCATTTATTTAAATCAGGGAGAGATGAGTTTATTTTCCGAAGATGTACAGTAATGCTTTTTCATTAAACGGATGCCTTCTACATTAGATATAGATGACTGTGACGAGACGGGTAGCCTAGCTGGCTAAGAGGCTGGCAGCTCCCGTTCACTGCCTTCTGTTTTCGCCGAGGCAGGCAAAAATAGAATGTCTCAAGCGAAGGTAGACGAATGTCACCAAACACTTACCAAGTTCATTGTTTCACAGAATCGATAAGAGAATCGATAAGGAATCGAATCGTTTCACAGAAGCGATAAGGGAATCAGAATCATGAAAATCTTATCAATTCCCAACCCTAGTTTTGAGTCTTTATGTTAGAACAAATGCATTCAACTTTATGCTCTCTTATACATGTAAACCTTTAATTAATTCGTTTGTTGTGTTTCTTTAGATGGGCTATGTCAGCTGGTTACGGTGCATGTCTCATAAACAAGCCTGAGCTTGTAAAGGACATGGTGCGACACGTCAGAAATCAAGTGGACAACCCAAACTACACCGCATCTATCAAAATAAGGTAAAACCTGTAGGGCTAAGATAACTCGTAGGTCATGCAACCTTTAAAGGGACTTGGTAAAGTATCCAAATGGGATTCCATAGAGTTGTATGTGATAAACCAACGGAAAATTTGGATTTAGTCTCCTTTATTCCATTACTCCTAAATCAAATTTAGTTCAATGGGTAGCCTTGACAACCATTGTAAACAAAATCTATATGTGTTAGTTTAATCTCAGGATAGGCTTAAAAAGATGTGGCTCAAGAGATGTTTTGTTGTAGTTGAGGCAAATGGAGATCTTTGAAGTTGATGGAGGCAAACTTAATTTTTAAATATTTCTTTGTAAAAATCAAATGTTTTCTATTTTCCTTCCACTTGTGGTGACATGATCATTTAAAAACTTGAATACTTAAAGGTGCAGTAGGAGATCTTTTCTGACTCATTTTTTTTTACCCTGTGCCTTAAAGATCTCCCCACAGCTGCTTAGCAAGCAGTAAAATAGAAGGTCTGGAAGTGAAACTAAAATAAACGGTCACCGCTACAGTGAGAAATCAATGAATAACCCAACCAATCACAAAAGACGGTCCGTTATACACGATTGGTTTCATGACATGTCAGTCATGCTCGTCTGCTTGTCCCCCCCCCCCTCTGTGTTCGTACCCTGACACATGATCGAATAGACTCCTCAATGCAGTGAAATGCTACATTCATACCTAAAGCAGCAATAGCAGCAAAAACGCACGTGTTGCTTCATTTTTGATGCTTGTACAAGTTTAGTTCTGATGCGCATCTCTGCTGCTCCAGCTGCTTGGTGGAAAAAGTAGGTCTGATGCGTGTTGGATGGAGATACCCTATCCTTTCTTTGCCTGTAACAATAGCAGCTATATTTGCTGTGATCAGTGGGTAAAAAGTAGTTTGAATCTATTTTGAAGTGAGAAAGTCCACCTGAAAACATCGTCAGTACAGTCAGTTCATCCAGATTACCATTCTGCCTTCAAATATTATTTCTGTCGGAGCCGCTCAGACCCACTTACAGCGGCGGTGCGCTGCCACTAGGAATCCCATTAAACAGCGGTTTGCAGCGGCGGCTGGAAGGCACCAGGATGATAAAAGCGAACATATTTTGCCGGCAGATTTCGGCATTTTAAATTAATTTAAGCGTTAATAACCTGTTTCAGAGGAGTGATCATAGCGCTCTGCATCATCACTGCTCAGACACGCTGCTCTAAACGCGCTGCAAACAGCATGCGTGTTCATGTGTTTTAAAGAGGTGGTTTCGAGGGGTGGTCTGAAGGGAGAGGCAGGCTGTGTGTGTTCAAAAATATAGCTTGCTGGAGCCGTTTTTCCCAGATCTCCTACAGCACCTTTAGGCCTGGTACTGAAATTAGAAGTGGCCGTTCGTTTCAGTGTTTTTTCTAAAGACGCTGCCACACCCACAGGATCCACAAGGACTTGAAGAGGACAGTGGATCTGTGTCAGAAAGCAGAGGCAGCCGGTGTCTCGTGGATAACGGTCCATGGCCGAACAGCAGAGGAACGCCACCAGCCAGTTCACTATGACGCTATAAAGACAATCAAAGACAGTGTGTCTGTTCCTGTCATTGCCAATGGAGACATAAAGTACCTCCGTGATGTGGAGTCTACTCACCAGCTTACTGGTGTGGATGGTATGTTTGCTTGACCAGCTGTCATACATTCAGTGATGTCAGCATGTCTTTAATTGCTAATGCTTTTTTTGTTTGGACTGCACCCCTCAGGTGTGATGGCTGCCCGAGGATTGCTGGCAAACCCCGCCATGTTTGCAGGGTATGAGGATACTCCGTTGCAGTGCATATGGGACTGGGTGGACATTTCCATTGAACAGGGCACTCCATTCACATGTTTCCACCATCATCTTATCTATATGCTGGAGAGGGTCAGCTCCCAGCCTGAGAGAAAAGTCTTCAATTCTCTATCTAGTACCTCTGCTGTTATAGATTACCTTCAGAACACGTATGGCACAGTTCAAGATCTTAAAAGTTAAGGATTCATGAATGTTTTCATTTAACGTTTATATGTTTCTGTTTTTATGCCAAATAAAATTTCATATCTTTGCCTTTATTCCATTTTTCTTTTCCCAATTCCTGTATAAATGTTTTTATTTCAAATATCAAAAGAGTTATACCTGAATTTAGTTTCCCGAATCCAGTTTATTGTCCATTGAATAAATATAAATGCACAATATTTGACCATAAAATACGTATATTGTAGGAAGTTAACCGGAAAACTTAATGTGAAATGGTTGGATTTTTTTTGGAGGTGTTTTGTAATATCGGCCATTAAAACATGGGCATGTGGAGTTTCTCATAAAAACCAGCAATGTGTAGAATATTCTGCTTATTTCTATTGTTGCTAAAGAACTTGTAATTTAAAAATAGCATTTTTTCTGTGCGAAAAATGTTTTCAAATAAGGATTTATAGTGCAATAGTAGTGTGTTAAATGTCTTGACAATACAGCTGAAATGTTGCTTTTAATGTAAAAACTGAACACAGTTTATTTGAAAAATAACTTAAGAGTTGATGAGAAGATCACTACATATTTGCATTTTATTTGCACAATGTGACTCATTTGTACGTCACAATTTCCACCATATTGTGAGTGGCAAAGTGGTTGTTCAGCAGTAGGATGTGTATCTCGACTCACAGGGTTTTAGGTTAAGCTGTAGACGGTTCAATCTGAAATTCTATTAGCAAAAGGGTCTTGATATCATATAGGAAATTATATATTTAAAATTAAATATTGATCTAATATTAAATGAAAAGATTTACATATCCAAATTTCACTTATATATATATATATATATATATATATATATATATATATATATATATATATATTTCCAGAGTATCAACACCATGAGGTTCCCTTGCTCTGTAAAGAAATGATCATTTACAAAATACATTTTTTTTCAGTCCATTTTAAGTAGTCTACACCTTTCTTTTACAATTTTTCTAAGTATAGAAAATACCACATTTTTTTTTAAAAATGTCTAAAAGCTTGAAATTTTACGATACTAGGGTCTAACAATTAGACTTAGACAGGTTTTATTTGTCATTTTGTTTACACAAGTGTAAAACAAAAAATTTTTTTGTTTGGAATTGCTCTAGACAATTTCATCTTTTTTAAAAGTGCAGCCTTGAAAAATAGTAAAAAATGACTCAATTTACATTTAAATTTTTTTAAATGTAATAATTACAGAAGAGGATTAGGGCCACTTTTTTTTTTATTTCAGTATTCAGAATTCTGACTTTTTTCCCATGTTAAACTGAAATAAAATTTAAAAATCAGTTACCTTTTTTTTTTTTTTCAGTGGCCCTAATCCTCTTCCGTAAATAACTGAACGTTCTTAAACTTTTTTTTTTTTTCACAAGTGTGTATCTTATCTGGTATCTATTTGGTACATTTACAGGTGTAATATGTTGATAATGTATATTTTTTTAACCTTGTATCTTATTTTCAGTAATATTAAAGCTAAGGGATTCTTAAAGAGTAGTTAACAGTTGTTTGGCCGTTTTTTTCCACTGTTTTTGCCACTCGCAATATGGCGGACGTGCCGACGTATAGTTTCAACTAAGAAACGAAGGCATCGCATGTGTCAGGTCTGGAACAGGAAGAGGTGAAACAGGAAGACAAACTTTCTCTGAGCAGAAACTCCCCCCTCCGTTAGCGTTTGGTTAATTTATCGGTAAGTTTCGCAGGTTTAAAAGTAAAACGCTAATAAACCCTCTATACTATTATTTGACATTTTAACCGTTCTCATTTACAAGTTAACGGTAGCTTTAGCTGAAGCAGTTACGTAGATTAGAGGTTAGACTTGTGATATAGTGGTTCCATTTAGCTAATTTTAAACGTTTTGACATGTGTCCTTTCTTCATATAAGTCGCTTTTTTCATTAAGAGACACCTTAATTTTTTGTTTAACTGTAAACCTATAAGTTATCTTTTTACTTGGAAAACTAGCTAAGTAGCACATTATGCAAGACTTTAGCTTCTGACTGCTGTGTCTTAGAATGATTATTTTTGAAGCTGGTTCGACTTGTTGAGCGAGCTTTCTTCCTCAGCTTTCCTATTTTGGGTATTTTCAGGAGACAAAGATGACCTTACAGTGGACTGCCGTGGCTCTCTTCCTCTATGTAGAAATAGGCGTCATCCTCATCCTCTGCTTACCCTTCATCTCAGCCAGAAGGTTGGTATAAGGAGACCTGAATCCCTACCTTTAATGAGATAAAGAATACACTTACTTTGGACATTTAAAGATCATGGTAGAAGTGAAGGATTTTGTCTTTTACTATAAATACACTCAATATGCACACATCATATTTTTTATTTAAATTCCAAACTGACATTTTTTTTGTCTGTAAAATAAAACTACGGAGGAAATTTTAAAAAAAGTAAAAAAAATTAACTGATTTTTGAATATTATTTCAGTTTATTATTGGAAAAATTCCACAATTCTGAAAGCTGACAAACATGTTAGCATCAAGGTGTAGCCATGTCTGTTTTAGAGACTAGCTCTCTTGTTTTAATCGCCTTCTGCTCTTCCATTAGTGAAATAGCATCACCGGGGACCCCCCAGGCACGTAAAAAGTTGCCTAATTCCGTCATTTTCCATCAATGTGTTACAGGCCCTCCCAAACAACTCACATCTGTGTCAGTGAAGCGCAGTGCTCCCACATCTCTTCCTTCATGGTGCCCATCTACATTAAGATCCAAATTCTGAGATTTACAGTTAGAATTCTGAGATTTAAAGTCAGAATTCTGAGAAAAATGTCAGAATTCTGACTTTCATCTCAGAATTCTGACTTTTTTCTCATATTATACTGAAATGAAATTTAAAAATCAGTTACCTTTTTTTTCCCTAGTGGCCCTAATCCTTTTCCTTTTTTATTTTCATGGCCTTAGATTTGAGGCAGTTTAAAATAATGCATTTCAAGGCGTATATTAATTTGGAAATCAAAGGATGATCAGCAATAAGGCTGCATGACATTACTGTGTGCAATGTTACAGTAACAGAGCGCTGTTCCAACCACTGTAAGCACACTTGGAGGATTCAGACTTTGTATATCATACAGATATTTGGCAAGTTAGATGGATTTTCAAAGCTGTTGCTTCTCACAGCTAACTATGTGACAAATGCCCAAGAAAAGGTTACAGAAAGCATCATAATATGATGAGAAAGCAGACATTGAAAATACTTATTTTTAATTTTATATCATCTTCACAATAGTATCGCCATCACATATTTGTTCTTATACTGCGCAACCATAAATGTCAATTTACTGATATTTACTTTGTTTTGTTTTTTACATTATATCAAATACTGTTCCTTTCTGAAAAGAAAGTAATAAAAAAGACGATCCCTGCTAGAACATATTTTCCAACAATACACATCTAACAATCATTAACCAAATAAAGGAAATAGCTGTAGGGCAAAGAGTTATTTACATCTCTAGGCAAATGTTTGATGCTTGTAGAGAAACGTTTGACAAGTTCTAGAGGAATCTATCTCAGTGGCCTCCATTGTAATATACTGCACTACATTAAAACCTAATTCTTCACTTATGTGCCTCTTTATACATTTTGCAAAAAGAATGTAGCTTTCAATAAAGCTTTCTGATGTAGGGTTCCCCACAAGTTAATCTAAAATTTAGTTTTTACCTTGGAATATATTTTGATTTTGAAATATCCAGTCTAGGCATCTCCAGTTATTCATTCACTTTATCATTTTTGTGGAGAAAAATGCACACAAATGTTGTTCAACCCTATTTATCAACCCTCACTGACTTAGTTTGATAGACGACAAACATAACAATTAACATAAGATACTTAAGTGCTTTGTTTTACCTTTGCACACTTAAAATGCTGGATATCCAATTTAGTTATTTAATTTTTGAATGAGTTGAACTGTAAAAGAAAAATTACAGGTTTTACTTGGACACCCTACGCCAGAGTTCAGCATATTCTCCAGTCCAAAGAAACATCTTTGGATTTGCTTCTACCAATATGATTTCCCTGAAGCCACAAAGCCTCCATGATGCTTTGGAAAAAGAGATAACATCTATAATGTCATTCTGATGTTGAAATTCCACTGAGATACACATGGAAATGTTTTTTGTTATCTTTAAATGTGAAAATGTTGCTTAGTGTTATATTCTTTTGGCCAGATCATCTATTTAATATTTCTACATTACCCCCAAATCTCAAACATGTTTCTTTTATTCCCTTGCAGATGGCAGAGCATCTTCCAGCTGAGAATTTGGAACTGGATGGCTAAATTCTGGAACAAAGTTTTTCTCACTATGATCATAATCCTTATTGTTCTCTTTCTGGGTAAGAATTAATGGCTCTGACTTAGTCCACCCCTTTGCCCGTCCTTACAACCAACCCGTTGCATTTTAGCCCCGTCTCACTTCCAGCGTGTACCCGTAGTGAAACGATTCAGTATTTTGGATGAAATGTGGAAATATATAATCATAAAGTGTCAGTTTTTCTTTTACAGTTCACTATATATATATATATATATATATTCACTCTTCTAAACCATGTCAGATTATTGCCTCTTATTGATTTTAATTTAATCTGGATTTAGAACATTCTGTCTAACTATAGCAGATTATTAAAGATTATTGGAAATCATTGATTTTATGACTGCTGCAAAACATTGTCAAAGCAGAAATGAATTAGTGAAAAACCTAAGGCTACAGCCTCTTTTAACGTGAAAAATAAATCTGGTTTGAATGAGTTTATCTACAAAAGTTCAAAATGAAAAAGTTTTAAAAAGACTAGAACCTGAGTCAAAATGTGTTTTCACATATTCTTAAAAACTGTAATTAAGTCATGACTGTGTAATCTGGGACAAATAATCTGTCAATGAAAATCAGGCTCCTCATACTAGTCCCACTTCCTGTCAGAAACAACCAATCGGAGCGACCTTCAAGCTTAAGATTTGCAGTGTGCTGCAGCTTTTCATTAACATAAAGCGTATCGTTGATGATTATTCCCTTTTATCCAACTTTCAAGTGAAAATGGCATAGATTTTTCTATTTTTTTCTTTAATCATCAAAGGCCCTGCTTATTAGCCTTTGTGTTTTATTGCACTCTTCACTTTAGACCAGACTGTTGAGCTGCAGAGGGAAAAAAAAGGAAAGGACCTAAAAGACTTGCTGGTTCAAATTTCCAGACAAAATGCTGATTTATACTCAGAAACCAGGTTGTCTGCATGTGTCGCAGTAATTACAAATGTGCCCCTGCCGAAGACACTCTGCTGCAGCTCTCCAAAATTGTAGGTGACCGCAGACAGGAGGCCTCTGATTGGTTAAACCTACATTCGTTCTACACTATCCGTATTTCCTGTAGTTTTGTTTGTATGACCGCCATTGTGGAAAACAACATGTGAAGTTGGACCAGCTAGAAGAGCGAGGTGCGCGAGAACGCTGGGACCCTTTTTCCACCTGGATCCCCGCTCTTTTTCGCTCTCATGTCCCTCAGTTTTTGCACAAACTTGCCCCCACTTCCTCACCGCCTCGTCCGTATCTAGACCCACAGCTACTTCATGATTGTCCCTCTTGTGTTGTGGCGTGGAATAACATAGTGCAGACCACGCTTCATTTTGGGCATAACTCAAAAATATCTGCGTTCTCAAAACTTCTCATCTTTTCTTTTTTAGATGCCGTTCGTGAAGTCAGGAAATACTCAAGTAGAGAGATTGGCACAGATGCAAAGGTTCAACCAAACATGTTTGACCACCTGCACATGAAGCTTTTCCGGGCTCAGAGGAACCTCTACATCTCTGGTTTTGCAGTTTTTCTCTGGCTGTGGGTGTCTGCATTCATGTACTGTAAACCCAAACCCAGTTGGAGACCATGCTGTCCTCATGCTGTGTTGTTGTTTACAGGGTTATGAAGCGATTGATCACTTTAATTAACCAGTTAGCGGCTGTGTCTGGGACAACAGCTGCTCTCCAAACTCAGGCTGATAACGCTAATAAAGCCGCAGAGAACTACAAGAAAGATAACGAGCAGCTGAAACAGGTAAGCCTCACATATACAGGTACTAGATCATGCCACAAAGTATTTTTTTTAAATTAGTTTACTTGGTGAATTAATGTTAATCTTTCACTGAGTGATAAACTTAGACTTCGCTTTAATTTCAGACCCTGATGGAAGGAGTGGGTGATAAGGCAACAGCAGAGGGCATGGAGCTGTTGAGAAAGGAAGTGGGGAAACTGAAAGATGAGCTGAAAACCTCTGGTGAAGGTGAGTTTCTTTGTCCACATCAGTCTATTAGTTTGCATTGTAACAAGTAGAAGGTACTTTAAAAGACTTTAATGTTACATAACCAACCAGCCTAATAAAATATTCAATATGATCTGGAATTTATTTCATCTAAGGAATGAATAAACATTTCTTGGATTCTTGACAATTGTTTGTGTGTGTAATTTTGAAAGAAAGAATAGAAATAGAAAAATTGTAACGGATGATTTATTCTGGTAAATCTAAGAATGTCTGTGTTGCAACGTTCAGTTTATTAGTTAAAGTGATCAGGAAAACAAAATCCAAGGATTAATCTCACTACACATCATGTTAATGTAGTTATTTATTTTATTATGATCTAAATTTCCTGGGGAAGCAGGTACATTTACAGAGTCTTCCCTGTTCTGATGTGCGATTGCATCTCTTTGCAGCCTTGAAGAAATCTCAGTCAGAGGCCGATGAAATGAAGGTGAAGATGGAAGGACTCGGCCGGGAGTATGAGAGGCTGCTGAAGGAACATCAGGACCTCCAGGTCAGAACAAAACATTTAGCAACACTGATTCAATGCACCAAGCAAACCACAGATAGATACACAAGTTTCTCATTATTTCATCTTTAATGTGGCGTCATTCTGCTGCCAGTCATGTAGTTCTGGTATTTTCCCTGGTATTTAGTACAATAAAAATACAAATATCATCTCAATGAATTTTTTTATGTTTACTGCATTCTTTTTTTTCGTATTTAATATCATGATTTATATTTTTTTCAGAATCGGTACGATGATGGGAACAAAAAGGACGACTAGTGGCGATGGTGCAACTTTCTCAAATCATCAAGAAAGCCGTTAAAACACATGGCATCCATCCAGTATGCTGTCACCGTTTACGTTATTAAAGCTGGGTTGGATTCTCTAAAGAGGAAACCTTAGACTAATATTAAAGGTTTACACTTGGGTGAATATTTGTTTTTATAGTTAAATGGTTCTTCATATTTCCTCTCTAGCATAAGTAAAACATTTTTAGCTGAAAGCAATCAGCCAGCACATTATGCAGGATGAAGGGGATAGTTATTTGATCACAGAGCGCATAACGAGTTAAATTAAGATGAATGCTTTCCAGTTGGAGTTGATAATTCAAGCCCTTCACACAGATCAGCGTGCGTTTGTAAAAGAAAAAAACCCCCACTTATTTCTAGCAGTGATTTTAAATGAATATTTCTGCATGTACATGCTGATCTGCCAAGGATGCTTGCAGGTAGACCTTACCCTAGATGAGGCTTCTTCACATTTCTGCTGCATTTCAGCCAATGTTTCCTCCCATCCAGTGAAATGAGATTCTACCACATTTTGAGATGTTAAGCACATTTTCTTGATTTTGTTTTTACCTTTAACTGTTAATACTGAATAAATTTTGTCACATGTAAACAGAGTTTATTGGATAAAATATGACCCTTAACAACTATGGGTTAAATGAAAATATGACAAAAAAGATTTTAGTTCCAACATGTTCCCTACATGTCTAGTCATTGCACTGCCTTTCACAGTTATGTTTGAAAAAAAAAAAAAAAACATGAATGTTTGATCATCTTTCTTTAGATAATTTTTTTGGTTACATTAGTTAAGATATGTCACTGTTTAAAGATTTCTTGTTCTCTATGCTAGTTATTTTAGTAATTCACAACATGATTTGTATGACCTTATCAGGTTGTGTTTGCTTCTTTTGTACAAAGACATTGGACTGAAGTGCCTTTTCAGCTGGTCTTTAATAAAAAATAGGTTTGGTTATCCTTTGCTTTGTTCCTTTCATTGATAAACACTACCACAGCCATGGCATTATTTTTGATAGTAAAGTTTTATTACTGATTGACATGTATGATATTCACATTTTACAAAAATAATCCAAGATATATATTTACAGTCTGGTTACTCTAATGCAGCTGAATGCCTTTTATATTATTGGTTTTCTTTCAGTTTGTGTCTGCATCTATTTCACTGTGCCTGAAATTGAGTCAAATAACCAACAGACAACAGGAAAAAACACTTAAAATAGATTAGACAGTGAAAATAAAACCTTTTTTTCTTTCAAAATATAAATATTTTTAGACATCACCTAAAAAACATTTAACTGATAAGATTTTGTGATAAAGATACCCATGCTTTCAAATCTTTAATCCTTGCCAAAAAAACCACCGTAGCATCTGATTTGGTAGTTGAATGATTTTACAATCCCACAAAATGTTCTCAATCCTGCATAAAACACTCAAACACAGATTAAGCCAGCATCAAACCCTTTATACAAAAAAAAGACACAATTTTATCACCATGTGAGTTAAACCTGTTTCTGGAGTTTCTCCAAACCTGATTCTTCCAAACTCTTCGCATACAGTTTTTTTGGTTCATAAAATTTGTTCAGCAAAACAAAAATCAGAGAAAATTGGTAAGACAATTCTGCAGAATCCCACTGCTAAACTGTAACATCTCAGGTTACAAAATTTCAGAAATGGTGAAAACAAATAATACATAATTTAACAGAAGCGGTGGAGAAAAAAAAAATTCCCTCCGAAGCATCATGTCACAATTTATATGACATGTTCTGATGTTATATGTAACTAAAACATAATGAAATCAGAGAATTCATCCCAACTGAAGGACTGGAGCAGTTTAACAAAAAGAGAAAAATTTGAGCAGATTGAGATTTAGATTTAAATGATGTTTTATAACTAAACCACAAGAAAATGCTTTTTAAAATTATTTTAATTTGAAACAAAACCCCCTCTTGGCTTAATGTGACTTAATGTGTTTAGGAAAATACCCAATTTAGAAATGTGTTTTATTTTAAACACTTTTATTGGCAGTAGCAGGAAGATAGCTTACAGTGTATGCATGTCTACTAACAAATATATATACGAAAATGAATCTAAATGATGTAACCAGTAGAGCTTTAAAGATACTTTATATAGCCTAAAATGACTTGCTCACTCATCCAGATGATTGGCATCAGGTGTTTTAATCACTTCCATAACCACAGGTGTATAAAATCAAGCACCCAGACATGCAGACAGTGGTTACAGACATCTGTGAAAGAATGGGTCGCTCTCAGGAGCTCAATGAACTCCAGTGGGGAACTGTGATGCCACCTGTGCAACAACTCCAGCTGGGAAAGTTTTTCTCCCCTAAATATCGCACAATCAGCTGAACCATAAGAATATGAAAGTGTTTGAGAAGGACAGCAACTCGGCTACAAATTGTTCACCCACGTTAACTAATGGAGGGGGTCAGGCCAAGGCAGTGGAGACACGTTCTCTGGAGTGACAAATAACTCTTTTCCATCTGGAAATCTGATGGATTATTCTGGGTTTGGCATTTACCAGGAGATCTGAACCTGTCTGACCGCATTGTGCCAGTGTTAAAGTTAGGTAGAGGGCGGATTATGGTGTGGGGCTGTTTTGCAGAAGCTGGGCTTGACCCCTTAGTTCCAGTGAAAGGAACCATAAATCCTTCATCAAACCAAGAAAATTCCAGCTCCCAACTCTGTGGGAACAGTTTGGAGCTTGTTCCTTCCTCTTCCAACATGACTAAGCACCAAAATACAAAGGAAGGTCCATAAAGACATGGATGGAAGAATCTAATGTGAAGGAACTTGACTGGTCTGCCTGGAGTCCTGACCTCAGCCCGACAGATCACTTTTGGGATGAATTAAAGCGCCAGTCCTTCTCGTCCAACATCAGTGTGTGACCTCACAAATGCACCTCTGGGAGAAGAGTCAAAAAATCCTTAAACACTCGTTAAACCTTTTGGACAGCCTTCCAAGGAGAGCTAAAGCTGTTCTAAAGGGTCCAACACTATATCAAACCCCTATGTATTAGGAATGGGATGACACTTAATCTCATATGAGAATCATGGCAGGTGAGCAAATACTTATGGCTATATAGTGTATGTTTGATGTTTTTAACTTTGATAAATATTTCTGAATGGGATCTGGTCAGTCTTTCAAATCCGCTTTTGTAATTCATATTTTTGCCACCTGTTAGGTCTTTTTTTATGGTGTTCGCATATATTTGCGAAAATTAAAATATCAGCAGGGAAATAGAAAGAAAAATGTTTTAAAAAAATTATTAAAGATCCCGCTGAATCTTTGGGGAAAAAAAGTTATATAAATCCATAGTTTGACGAGTGGTGTTCTAATTCCCACTCAATCCTGCTTATAATGAACATGACAACATTAAGTAATCAAAAACAAGATAAAAAAAATACACAGCAGCCTTTCTTGGAGTGACCAGCCTACTGAAATGACTCAAAGAGTTAATTGGTGGGTTATTAAGACAATCACTAGAGAATCCAAAGCAGCATCCATACATCCATAGCACTGCAGTCTCAGCTAAGATCAGCATTCATGGTTCTGTGCAGAAATGGCATCATAAAAACTGCTGACCTAAAACACCAACTTTCTTCCCAAAATGTTCATAAAGATGCTTTAGGATTGAAAATCAAACTATTGGAAAATAGTTCTGCAGTATTACATTTTTCAAAGTATTTCAATAAAATACTGTCATACCGACAGCCATAGTGGTAGTAGTGTGATGGGTCCAGACCATCAGAGTAAAACAAAAACAACAAAACTAAAGGTTTTTGAGTGGCTTTGACTAAATTATGACTTCAGATCAGTAGATGCTGTAATATAACCTGCAACAATCCAAAACATACAAGCCTGACATAAAAAGAAAAGTAAAATCTTAAGAAATCTGTAGGGGACAAGTTATTTTTTACAGTTTTTATACCAAAAAAAAAAAAAAGAAAAAAAAATCATACAAAAATGCTAAGCTTTCCTCATTGATATATTGAGCTTTAATGGAAATTAAAACCATATGTATTTTGTTAGAAAAACCTGGTTTATATTGTTCTACTCATTTTGATTAGCTGAATAATTCAGGACTGATCTGATTAAAAATTAAGGAATGGCACAAAGTCAGCATTTAATTGTTTTTTTATCAACTGATCAGAAACCACTGATTTT